AATTATGTAAAAAGTTTTCATTAAGTTTAATAAAGATAAAAGCATGGTCTCACCTTTAACATTAAAAAAAAAAAAAACAATTTACACTATTTTTATTTATTTGACCCAGCAACATCACCGCCTCATTTATCCTTTTTGGGTGATGCTTGGCTCTGTTTTAAACCAAGTAGTCATCTATGGGTCTTCTCCTTATGCCTTATTTAGGAGTTTACTATTCCATGGTCCCTGGACTTTCTTAATTTGAATTTTATTATAGATACAACTATGATATTTTTATGACTTCTTTCTAATCTTCTATAGTCTAAGGGCTTTTTACGGGCTTAGTGCTGTTTCTCTATTTATGAAGCTTTGGTGGGGAAAACTGATTTCCCAAGATTTCCCAAGATTTCATAGAACTACTATTTGGGAATTTAAACATGGTTTTGAGCCTTGTGATATCAAATTTAGTGCAGTAGATTGGTCTGATTTTGCTACCAACAATTCCCACCTACTTAATTTTTTACGTCCTGTGAAAAATTAGACTAGGTCTTCAGTTCTGTATAACCAGATGCAAATCAATCCAACTTATTTAGGCGCAATTATGGCACCAACCTAACTATTACATCTAAAAAGAGACAACAATTACACTCAATAAAACTTAAAAATTCCTTAAAAATTTGTGCCTATGTTTTCACAAAGTTTTCCCTTGCTATGTGCTCCTTAACCTCATATACAACTATTGAGATCGACCTCTTATACTGAAACTCCTTTCCTTTCAATTTTCCTGTGAAAGCATATCTCCAGACTCACTAGCAGGTTCTTTAGGTTCATAGTATTTCTTTAACAGCCCCAAGTTAAAAAGGGCTGAAATCATCCTCCCTTCCATAGCCCTTAATTTGTAAGCATCATTGGGAAGCTTGTCATGCACGTAGTAAGAACCAAGACACTTTGAAGTAAACTTATTGCTTTGAGAGTACCTTTTCTTTGCATCTTTTAGGAGGATTATTTTTTTTATTTCAAAGCTTACTCAATATTTTTAATCATAATAGGCTTTTAAAGCTTTTTGCTTCTTCTTTACCCTTTCCATGGTTTAATTTCAGATGATTGAAACTTCATTTAGAAGTTCAAAAGTTCTTTGCAAAATTGTTCATTTCAATAAGTCTTTAGAATTGCTTGGGTAGATTGACTGTCTTGCCTCACGGCTATAGACAAAGTAAAAAAAAGTCATGCAAGTAGTAGCATTCTGAGCAGTTCAGTATGCAAATAAAATCGAAGAGACTAACAAATCCCAATCAACAATGTTCTCAACCAATTTCCCAATAGGTTCACACAATGTTTTATTAAAACATTCAACCAAGCTATTTGTGTGAGAATAGTACAGAGTTGAGAATTGCTAGTGGACCTTCAATTTTCAAGAAGCAACTTCATTACATCATTGCAAAAATGGGTCCCATGGTCAGATTAAATTTGGTTAGGGCACCCATGTTAACAAATTATGTCATCATAAAGAAACTCAGCAACAGTTTGCAAATTTGCCTTCTCTACTGCACATGCTTTGGGCCAGTGGATCATGTAATCAGTGACAACTAGTATATACCGATTCAATCAAGGTGTATGGGGAAGGAACTAACAAAATCCAACCCAATCTTATAGAAAGGGTCAGATACAGGGATGGGGTCAACAGGGCTTGCATATGGAGCTAGGTTCTATGTTAACAGGGATCACATGTTTGGACATATCAACATATGTCCTGGTATATTTGGGCCAAAAATAGGCATTACATATCTTTTCAAACATTACATTGTGACTCAAATACCTGCCTAGAGGATGTGTATAGACCAAAAATAAAATTAGATCAATTCTGTGCTTTCGTAGCACCTGCAGTAAGTTCTCTTTTATCTTTTTTGTACAAGAGGCCTTCCTCTACTTTGAAGAATTCTATTTTCTTTACTAGTTTCTGTCTTTGTTTTTTATTTAACATAGGTAGTATTTATTTTGTATCCAAGTACTGGGCCAAATATTAATAATGATCAGGCTCTATAAAAGAAATTAGTATAGGGGTTTTTTTTTTCTTTTTTTTTTATTAAGTTTTTATTAAAATTAACTATTGTAAAATTTATAAGGCAAAACTGGTTTACTGATTTTAAAGAGAATTTATAAAAACTCTAGTGAAAAGAGGAAAAGGTATGAAAAAAATGAATTTAGTGGGGCCAGAACACTAGTAACCTGGGCTGGATTTTTAAAACTGGATTTTCTATTTATTTATTATTATTTATTTTATATTATTTTTTTTATTTGTTTTTATTTTTTTTATCAATTGAACTAATCCATTATTATCAATTGGGGTCCAAGGCTCTTTTTTGGGGTTTCTTTTAACAGTGACACTGACTGTTTCAGGATTCTCAACAATACATCTGCATTGCTATGCTTTTTTTCCTGATGATGTATAATTGTGAAATTGTACGATTGCAATCGAAGTACCCAACGAGCCCTATAACCAGTTAATACTGCAATTTGTAGCCACTTCAATGTCACGTAATCAGTAACAACAACTAACAGATCCAGGCCAAAATAATGGTGGAAATACTCTATTGCCCAAAGAACTGCTAGACATTCTAATTTAGTTGCACTGTAGTTCCTTTTAGGTTTCATTAACACCCGGCTAGCATATGCCACAATATACTCTTTTTCCAAGTCATCTTTCTAGGCCAGCATGGCACCCAACCTAGTTTCTGATGAAAGTCTTGTCAAAATTGGAATAACAGAGCACTAGTGCATCTGTTAGATACTGCTTTAGTTGATTAAACGCATCCTCTTGCTCTTGGGTCCATTCATACTCAACATCCTTTCTTAACAAATGGTGTAGAGAACAGGCAATTGAGGCAAAATTAGAAATAAATTTTCTATAGTACGAAGCCAACCCAACAAATCCACAGAGTTGCCTTAAGTTCACTGGGGTGGGAAAGTTTCAGACTTTCTCTACTTTACTGTTATCAGGACAAACTCCTTCTCATTAAACAATGTGATCTAGAAATAGGAGGTAAGATCTAAAAAAACACTTATCATAATTCAACTTTAGGCCTACAGCTTTTAACTTTTTGAAAATAGCTGCAATGTAGTACAAGTGTTCGTTAAAAGAAGTGGAGTATATTACAATATTGTTAAAATATACTACAATGAATTGTTCAATGAAATTAGCCAGCATATAATTCATCATATGCTAGAAGGTGGTGGGAGCATTGCAAAGGCCAAAAAGCATAACAACAAACTCATATGTGCCAAAAGGAACTGCAAACGCAGTTTTTTCCTAATCTTTCTCACTAATTTTTATTTGCCAATACCCGGATAATAAATCTAGAAAGGTAAACCAGGCAGCATGGCCAAATACTTTGAGTAGGTCATCTATCCTTGGGAGAAGATACTCATCCTTTGTGATTACTGCATTCACCTTTTGATAGTCGATACACATTTTTAGGTTTCTAGCTTTTTTTGAGACAACTATGACCAGAGAATCTCATGGGCTTTTTGATTCCTGTACCAACTCTTTGGCCTTTAATTGTGACACTTCCTTTTTAATGAAGACACAATGCTGGGTGGCACAATATAGAGCCTGTTTAATTAAAACAGCAGCACCGGTGTCTATTTCATGCGTTACAATATCTGTTTGTTCTAGGTCGTTTGTTTCACTAGCAAAAATTCTCTTTTCTACAAGTAGCAACTCATGGGCTTAATTTTTTCTTCTAAATTTAAAGTGGAATTCCTTACACTATCCTCCAACTTTTTCTCGATGGTTGGTTTATTTTTGGTGTTAAGATCTTCAGTAGGTAGTTCTTCCACATTAGCCAAGCATACAGCAGGGCTGCAATAGTTTATCTATAGATTTTCAAAAATATTCTTGTTTAGAGTTTCTTTAGTAAAGTATCTATCAGCTTCGTCCAAAGCCTTGTCATCATATTTGAACTCATTGAAGGTATCTTCACTTTTGGGAAGTTTGATGACAGCTTCATCTAGGGGTCCTCTGTCAGTGGAGATTGGAATTTTGCTAGTTTTTCTATTGTATATAAGGTACAATCTTTTTTTCGCGAAATGTAACCAGGCCCAAGCTTTCACAAACCAATCCATACCCAGCAACATCAAGTCATTGGTAAATTTAATGATTTGGAATGTCATAGAGATTAGCATATCTCTTATAGCTACTTTGAGGCCATTAATTTTATCTAGAGCTTACTCCCGAGTACTATTTGCTATTACCATGACCGTTGGAAATAGTTCATCAATTTTTAATTTTAATTTTTCTATTATCCTTTTTAATATCAAACTCACAGTGGCACCTAAATCCAATATGGCAATAATTGGGTTGTTCTTGACTCGAATGAGTGGCAGTAGTTCATTTATTATTTGGCGGCTGGACCATATTTGTTTCCATCTCTAATGGTTGGGCTGGTTCAACCACAAGAGGTCTTTTTAAAGCTTGAGCTAGAAGACGATACTGATTTAGATATTATAGAAGTTGTCCAATAGTGGCATTGGCTTTCATTTCTAAAATGTCTTGAGCAACGTTATATGGTTCCAATTGATCAATGACTGACAGGCCTCTTCTTTGTTGAGGTCTTGCTGTGCAAGTTTCAGGAGCTAGTGGGCTTGTGAGGGCACTAATTGGGCATTTCATTTATCAGAGGTACTACTGGAGTGCTAGTCACAAGTGGGTTGGTCCTCAACCGTTTCTCCACTTGATTTTCTGATTTTTTATATTTTGGTGAGGTTGTTGTGTTGTATATGGCTAGTGGCGGGAGACAGGAATCGTAAATGCCTCTTCTTTCTCTAGTTGATAACCTATATCATTGATGGCATACAAATTTACATTCCTGGTTTGGTGCAATATCTGCACTGCCGGATTATTTGGATTAATCCTTATGTTTTGGACCGGTACTGGTGGAGGATTTTGAGGTGGGTTCCTTGTGGTATTATTTTTTCTGGAAACTCTTTTTAACATACTGTTATGAGAAATATATTCAGGTTCTCCACAGTTATAACAAACCAACTGTGCAGCATTATTATTGCCTGGGCTACCTCAATTATTATCATATTAGAGTTTTTCTTTATTTTTGCTGCCAATGTAGAAACAAGCTTTTCATAGTTTGTCAACATAGCTTGCATTTGTTGAGTTAGGTGATTCAAGTCGTCCTCATAGTGGATATTTTAATTTTTTGCTCTGTTTCATTTACTGTAGTATCCACTAGCTTCAATTTTACAGGCACCAACCAGTGCTTTTTCGTGATTGCAAGGGTCAGCTACACTTAACCAAGAGGCTATTTTCAGTTTCAAACCTTCCAAGAACATGCACACTATATACAGTTAAGGAAGGCAGTTTTCTGAGTCCACCTGGCACAACAATCTTTTAAAATTGTAGATGTACACATCCACTCTTTTGGTATCATGTTGGGTTAAAGAATTCAAATCGGCTTGCCATTGATGATGCCATTCAGAAGTTGCGAAATAATGTAGGAGGTGGAGAACAAAACTACCTTAACAATAATTTTGCTCATCCCAATGCTGGAGGGTTTGTTTTACTCCAATTAGCAGCAATACTATACAAATATCCCAGGCTATTTTTATCTTGCATTGAGAGAACCAATTGTTGGCATCTGCAGCTGTTTAAATGCCTTCATCCATTTGAGAGGGTTCTCATCTTCTTCTCCATGAAAGTGTTCGACCTTTACTAAATTAGTTTCTTGTAATGGAGAACAGGCAGCGTTAACGACACTGGCAGAAGCTTTCCTAAACATATTTGCGATTTCTCACAATATTGCATGCAATAGTTCTGGGGCTAGTTTAGAGATGCACTAGTTTTAAAAAAGACTAGTTCAGAGCCAGTCTTTTCAATAGTCCCACAGTCTTATTGGTCCCAGTCTGAACTGGTCCCAGATTAGTCCTTGTAAACAAACTGTGATATTCATATCACCCAATTAAATTGCTTAATCAGGTGTAATACAGATCATATAATATTTATTTACATCTGACAGTAAGTAATTACGTCATTTATGATCAATAAGATTTAGCCATTAAGGACCATTTTGGAACTGCGAACAGACCAGGACCAAAACCAAAAACACTATGATAGCGGTCTTACTAGGACCAGAATAGACTGGACCAGACTGGTGTATCCCTAGGCTGGTTGGGCATTTCAATTATCATTAATAATATTATATTTAGATGGATCTGCTACAGAGGTGCAACTACGATCGCTATTGGGAGAATTCTGGCCTGGGTGACCTAAATTATGGAGAACAGCATCGATAATTAAATTTTTGTTATTATTGGAGGCAACATTTATTTCCACTCTTTGTAGTTTAATTTTTTTATTATTATTAAATAAAATAAAAAACTTGTAATAATTTTTGCGAGGTTGAAATTATAATATCGAATCTCACAGTCACCACCAAATTGTTGGTAGCAAAACTAGATATACATGTATCTAGATAGTCACTACTAAGATACAAGAGAAACTACCAAAAACCAAAAAAAACCACACAATAAAACAACAGAGTCAAGGTGGTTTAGATTTGGCAAGGAAAGGCTTTTAGGGTTAATTTGTAGGTATTTAACATGAAAATTAAGGTCTTTAAATACAATGAGAATTTATAAACTTTTATTTTTATCAGAATCAGATTTTTATTTATTTTATTCGATCTGAACTGCCCTTTTACCAAAGCGAATTATGAGGCTATTTATACAGAAATTCAATATATATTGATGAAAAAAAGAAGAACAAAATTCTAACTCCTTATCACTTTATCAACCAACGATTTTTAAATCGCTAGACTCTTACTTACACGTATATAAATATTTGCTTACATGGCTACACAATTTACACAATTTACTACTATTTTTATTTATTTGACCTGGCAACATCACCGCCTCATTTATTTTTTTTGGGCGATGCTTGGCTCTGTTTTGAACCAGGTGGTTATCCATGGGTCTTCTCCTTACATCTTATCTGGGAGTTTACTATTCCATAGTCCTGGGACTTTCTTGATTCGAATTTTATCATAGATGCAACTATAATATCTTTATGACTTCTTTCGAATCTTCAATAGTCTAAGGGCTTTTTACAGGCTTAGTGCTGTTTCTCTATTTATAGGGCTTTGGTGGGAAAAACTGATTTTCTTTGATTTCCCAAGATTTTATGAGACTACCATTCAGGAACTTAGTCATGGTTTTGAGCCTCATGACATCAAATTTAGTGCAGTAGATTGGTCTGATTTTGCCACTAACAACAATTAGCCTTAAATCTTGTTTAACATAACCCTCCCCCTCTCTATTAAGCAAATAATAGGGAAGAATTAAGCAACATACTAAAAATATCACTTTGAAAACTTGTTAGTATGTAACATGTATAATGATAATAATAATTATATCTAACAATATATACTTATCAAGATATCAATAAAAATATATATATACAGTAAAAAAATTTAGTAAATTATATACTGTACATATGCACAGGTCCGTATTATTTCACCAACAATCACTTTATAGACACCCATTTCACTGACAATTATTCATTAACAAGTTCATTTTACCAATAGTCTATTTCACTGAAGCTCATTTCAC